CCAAAACAGCCCTAAAACCCTACCCCCAAAACCCCCCTAAAACCCTACCCCTAACCCCTAAAAAACTCCTGACCCCCAAAAAACCCTTAAAAGCTCAACTCGTCGGAACACCGGCATGCATTCTAAGGCAGGGATGCGTTTTTCGGCATAACACCTGCACTGTGTAACGAAATGGTGAAAGTCTGTAGGAAGCGGAGGCGTTTTCTGGGCGGAGTTGAGCTCATTAGAAAGGCGCGGTTAGACAGGACCCTTCGGCAGATGCGGTCCGCTTGCACCGGGTAGCATAAGCGTTGAGGCGGATCGACGAGATGCTGGGACTTATCGCTTTAGCGGCTTCGCTTACTTACGTAGCAGCGGCATCGGCCGAAATTCGGCGTAACTGTGAGCCCTGCGATCCGAGCCTGTGCGAAGCCCTCTCGGCCGGAGGATGCGAGTTTGGGATATTGTTGGACTCCTGCGGATGCTGCTCCGCCTGCGCGGCCGGGGAGGGAGAGAAGTGCGCAGGACGCGGATCCGCGCTCCCGCGATGCGCGCCGGGGCTGGAGTGTAAGAAGAGCAATAAGGGTAAAAGGAGCAAGCTGGGCGTGTGCGTGTGCAAGAGCAGCTACGAGGTGTGCGGCACCGACGGGGTCACCTATAGCACCGGCTGCGATTTAAAAGCTGCCAGTCTGAAAGCTCAGAGTGACAAGCTGCCCGAGATCAAGGTGCAACATAAAGGAAAATGTTATCAAGGTAAGGTCTTGAATGTTACCTAATATATTTATTTCTTAGTGTTTATATTCTGTGACATCAATTCAAATCTTTTTAATACATGTTGTCATTAATAGATTATGTTACGCCTAATATTACGAATTATTAAGTTAATCTTAAACTTTTAAATGTAAATATACCCAGAGTATTTTCGGATTGTCTTACAGCCAATCATAAGAATTTGATCTAGAGGCGAAGACAATTTCCGGACGCCAGTCATTAGTTCTCTTACTGTAAAACATGCCATCTGCTAGCGTGCTGCTTCATACATGGGGAAAAAGTTTCTGTTCCCAGTGAAAATGACATGTAAGTCAGTGGAGTGATCTCTACAGGGTATCTAATGAAAGGTGGCGCTTGGACTGGGTCACTGGGTCACAGTCCCGTGTGGCCGTGAATTTTCCTGGACGCTGAAAAGGAAAGTTATTAGGTCGATTACAATTTTCATATGGATCACGTGTTATATTAATCGTGCAAATACTAACGTTTTCAAAGCCACGATAAACACACTGGGGATCGCCTTCTTTTTTTAAAAGTATCTGACAAATGCCGCAGCCTTTTGAAATGTATATGAAGTATATAAGAAGTACGTAAAGATTTGTGATATATTATATTACAAATGATCCTGCACTGTAAAGCATAACAGACCATCATACCTTAGCTAATGACGACAACATTAACGTGTCAGTTCACCAGTTAGCAAAATACTGATGAAAACTACAGCGGTTTGGAGTTATTCACTTTATTTTATAGTGTGTGTTCCCTGCATGGTTGTCATGAAGTGCTTAACAAAGCAGTTTCACTTGCCGACATGCAACAGTTTGGGGTGACAATAGTGTAAATGAATAGTTAATCAAATAAAAGACAGCAGGGGAGAGGAAACAAGACTCTTTAGTTTGATATAGACAGGCAGTTCTGTAGATTAGGACCCTTGAAGCTGAGTCCTTTACCATCCACCATTGTTTTATTTATGTGAAGAACTGCAAAAAAAGGCCAGGCATACACTGTAGATGGAAAAATATTTACTGTACATCAAAAACAAACCTGAGAAAACTGCTGGCAAAGTCCTGAGACAATTAATAATTGTAGTTATTAACAGCACTGCTCTAGTGGCAGTAGCTATTTCCAAACTGGATGGCAGACTTTAAATGTCCCCCTGTGTTTACATCAGTTTATTGTGGATCCTCTGGTTTTCCGCTGCTGTCTAAAAACATGCTATTCAGATAAATTTATGAAGTCTATCATTTTTGCGTGTCCTGCCTTGTACCTTGCTCTTTCTTGGGAAAGTCGTTGCGTCGTTCATGGATGCATGTAGGGATGGATAATTCTGTTTTCTACTATTTCTAGTAATAATATTAACAGTTATAATTAGAGACATAGTTATCATGAGTTTTTAAAAGTCTAAGTAGTAGGCACTTTGGAATTTGCTGTGCCTTGGCCAGCGAGACCCCAGTACCTGATTTTTTATAGACTAATTAACCTACTTCCTAAGGAAGTCCTGTATGTCTTGTATGTCTGTCTTTGTGCTTTACACTTTGTTTTTCCACCAGGTGTGAATGTGACTCATTTCATTCCACCAGATGCAGATAGCTTGTTTTTAGAGTTTGGTAAACACCCTTCCTTTATTCTGCTTGAGCTGGCTGCCTGTGTCCCTCTAGTTCTGTGCTATTTCAAGTCAGAGAGTGTCATACAGTGAATGTAAACAGAAGTACATGGTGCAAGATTGGCTTATTGATGTGGGATAAGCTGAAATGAGAATGCACTGGGTATCTCTTTTGGTCCTTCTGCAGACCTGGACAGACGTGCTGTCTGAAATTCCAGCCTGGAGGGATTAGAGACCTGAAAAGGATTTGATTGCTGACAAAACAGCAGCATCTTGCTTGTAGACACAGCGTGGGCTGTTAGTGTAGAGCAAATCCCATAGTCTTTAGCTCAGCCAACAAACACATGATTCATCATAGCCCCCTAGACAGCATGAGATTAGCCAGTAAATAGGCTCTGTGAATTAAAAAATCTTTGCAGAAGCGCATTCCATGAAAATACCTACTGACATTTCTTACTGCCAATATTGAGAAGACAAATTTCCCTTGAACCTTCTCTGAACAGAAGATAAGGCTGAGGGTTCACAGATTAAGCTTTCAGAATTCCATTTCTCTTGTTGCAGCTCCTGTCATTGTGACGGCTCCGGGTGAGATCTGGAATGTTACTGGCTCACAGGTGTACCTGAGCTGCGAAGCCATTGGTGTCCCAACTCCTGTCCTTACTTGGAAAAAGGTACGTATCCAATGGAGAAGAAGGAAGCTGGCAGAGTAGGCGGGCAATGTTGATGGACAGCTATATGGGTCGTGTTCGCTTGTTGATTTATTTTTAAAATGCATTTCATTAGAAATAGACATTAGACTAGTAATTTTAAATATTTATATCAAAGATTAACTTATCAGTGTCTAAAAACTATTGCGACTGTTATCAGGTAACCGCTTGAAATGTGCTTTTAGTGTATTTGTGTAAATAAGATAATAGTGCAAATTGTTTAAGCAATGATATAAAAGATCTGATTGTGACATGACAGGGATACAGGGATGCTGTGGACAGCGGCATATACATTGCTGTAGTCTGGCCTCCATTATGGAACAAAATCTCAGTGATTTTAAACAGTACAGCGTTTAAAATTCAAAGAAAGAGAGAGATCATTGACATTTTTTGGAAAATAATGCTTGGGAAACGAGGCAAGCAATGCATACCCTTGGGGAACTGGAAGTCAAGTTCTCAGATTATCAGAGAGAGAAAACTCCCGGAAGGTCCCCTCACAGCCTACAAGGGAAGTGGCAGTGTGGTCAGAATGAATCTGGGGGTGTGAATGGAATGGAATTATGGAATGACATTAAGACCAAGTGACAGGAAACAGAATGGGGCCCAAATATACTATAATAATATGAGCCCAAAGACCAGCCTATGTAAGAGTAGGGTAAAAATGAACTATATTAGATGCTAGCCCAGCCAAAAGCTGGAATCTTGCCTTTTCCCAGACCTGCTAGATGAGAGAGACTTAAGAGACAAAACTGTAGGTAACTGCTCCACAAGGTCCAGAACCAACGTCAAGAACTTCCAGCAGGCACTGTGCTGTCCTATGGCCCACTGATCTCAGATCTCCGATCTCTATGGCCCACTGATCTCAGATCAGTGCTTGCATTCTCCACTTTCTCATAACAAAAGGGGTCTAGGAGCATCATGTTCCTACAGCTCCTTCAGGGAACAAAAGCAGGAAGGGGAAGGGAGGGAACAGGACATCAGAGAAATCGCCGCCTTGACACGGTGGAAGGTCAGTCCTGAGAGAAACTGAACCTCTGTTTCCCCGTGCGTAACAATAGAAAACGGAACTTAGACGGGACTCAGACTTAGACGGGGATTTATAACCCTCATTCTCTCATATATCTTTGCTCTTCCGCACGGAGTAAATGCTGACAAACATGAACTCGACCTATAAATGATTCAGTGTATCCCACATATTTCACGTTTAAGCTGCGCTGTGTTTAATTAGACACTGCTCTAGGGAAACTGTCCATCTGTGCCTATAATGTAGCAACGTGCTGCTTTTGTTAGTAAAGTCAAAGATGACTCTACATCCGCTGCTTACAGTCTAGTGCGGGGTAGCAAACAACAGGCACTGTGAACGGGGACCACAGCTGGGAAAAATATTTAAAAATAAAAGTAAACTTTATAGTCATCTCAGCTATATACATGTATTCAGTGAGACGGGACGACGTGGATCCAGTTTATACAGTTTGCAATAATAAAGGCACATACAAACAAAGAGAAATGTAAATAACTGCAATAAAGACCAAACAAGAATTTTAAAAACATGCAATGAAGTACAGAGGATATTTTAACATTCGGGAATTGTGTAAATGTTGCTTCAGCATAGTGGAGGACAAATGCGAGTATAATGCAAAGTAATTGTGTGTGCATTTGTGTCCATACGGTCAGCAGTATTTCAATATAGTATATCGAAAAATACCCACAATTCCCATTGATGTTAAATCCTAAGCATTGTCCATTGATGAATGTTTAATAGCCAGTCTCTATATTGTCATTCATGGGCAATGGGGCCTCTTTTCTCTCTGTTATGAACCACTTAGATGTTCTCCAAAAAGCTGGAAAGAAGCAAAATCACCACATATCACACTCGCGCTCTCCTTTCATCTCTCTGTGCTCTTGTCTGGTCCAACAAGAGGATACAATCTTGAGAGGGTGATAAACATCTATTCCTCGGAAGGACAGATTGTCCTCAGTGAAACTGTATGCGTTCCAGAGGCCATCTTGTTTTGTTTGGTGAAGAACTGCCTTTTTTTTTCCCCCAGGTGTCTGTCAATGGCGGGAAGGTGGAGATGCTTCCAGGTGACCGGGAGAACCTGGCTGTCCAGACCAGGGGGGGGCCCGAAAAGCATGAGGCCACCGGATGGGTACTGGTAAGTGCTACTGGTCAGCTGACACCCAGGAAGGGCCTGAATGGGAACCACAAAATGAAGTTCCAATGTAAACTCTCTCAGCTGACAGTTGTGAGCGTCGTGTCTGTTAAGCCGTCCCTTGGGTTTGCCAAGATGAGTTGTGTGCTCATATCAGGCCTTGTACGGGTTTGCTGGTGTTTCGGTAGGAATGTAAACACCAGGCTTCCATGAACAGGCAGTATTAGCCTGAGTGACTCACTGTGGCCTGCTGCTGTTTGCCTGGGACTTTGGCACGGCATGTCGATCAGACGCACAGCATCTGTTCGCGTTCCTTCAAGTAAGCGCGCGCCTTTTCAGGTTTCTCCGCTCACGCTGGCGGACGCCGGCTCGTACGAGTGCCACGCTGCCAACCCCAAAGGCGAGGCCTCGGCTACTGGCGCTGTCCATGTGGTGAAGTCGTTGGAGGACATCCCCACCGAGAAAGGTGAGCATGACTCGGTCGTTCCCCCCCCCCGGGCGTACCGTGGGGCCAAAACACGTCCGCTCCTGCATGCTTAGATCCCAGATGGTGCCGGACGGGAGCCAGACCCTTATCAATCATGGAGATGGCTGTCATGACAAGGAGCATGTTTTTATTGCTGCGCACGCTGACATACACAGAGCTCAGCTCAAAGACAGCACCCCCCCCCCCCCCCCCCCCAGCCTTAATGGAGAACACAAGCATCGGCTCTGTAACTCATGCCTTCTCTAGATGACGATAAACCAACACTGTAGAGGAGTGGTGTCCAGTTTTTCTTGAATTTTAAATTATTTATATGCAATTATTTGATCAGTAAACCACATATTATAGTGGTATAAATATATCAGGTATAAATAGGAAGGTATTTGACACAATAGAGAAATTTTACAGACATTTGCATGATCAGACAGTAGGGGGTGCTGCTCGCAATGACCAATCATCCATCAGTTTGCTTGACCACATGACTGGCAGCCCGCTGACCTACTCCTGTGTGCCTCCACAGCTAAGGATGACGAACTGTGAAACGGCAGGGAACGTGACCATGGGTGGGGACAAGCGGCAGCCCTGCCCCCCACGCCGAGGACAGCGACCTACGCCTCTACTCACGCACAGCTTCTTGGTCGTCACATCCCACGCTCACACACTCAGTCTGCATCTCAGTCCGATGCAAGGCCTGCTACTTCTGAACCAAACGCACATTTTTATCATTTACTTAGTAGTTCTGTTAATGCAGATATGTATGCTGGGCAGATGATGATCTGACTGGATAAGGCAGAGGAATGTCCGCACCAAGAACAGGGGCTTCTGCAAGTAGGGATTTGTGTAGGAATGTGCAGGAGTCCAGGTTTGAAAGGAGAACAGGTTTTCAGGTTGGTGGATGAACCCCCCCTTTGCCTTTCAGTGCGGTGAGAATTAAATGGATACACTGTATGGATGTATACTGTAACCTGTAACGGAGGGATGAAATGGATGCTTTTGTCAGTTTGGGTGGATGTAGCTCAGAAAATGTTAATGGTGCTATTATGGCTTTTATAACGGTCTGCATGGCCCTTGTGGAAAGCAGATCCTATTTTACACATTACCTTTAATTTTCTTTATTAAAACCACTTAAATTACTACTTATATTTGCAACACTTGAATAAATATGACCTACTAACGGATATACAGAGTATTGCACACTGTATATTGCTTAACTAATAAAATGGACAACTGAACCTGAGCAGGAGTGATCACTTTGGAGCGATTAATGATTGAGAGGAAAGACAAGTTAGGTGTACTGGGTAAAATAAAGTAGCGTTAGCCTGTCCTAATAAAGATCACTTACAGCAAATTTAAAAATGAAATTTTATTACTTTTCCCTCATATTACAAAATAACATTCTTCTTGTTCTCTACAACAATGACAAACACTGTAACAACACAGATGAGAACAAGAACAGCATGTAGCTGCTGGATTCCATGTTCAGTCCACCAGTGCTGCGCTACATACAGCAATATCTGCCGTTGCTCATTTACAGTGACTTATATTCCACAGCCTGGGAACGGCGAGTCCTCTAGGTGGTCATCATTCGCGGCGCAATGCTCATGGACATCAGCTCCTGGAAGAGCAGCTTGCAGGCGTAAGGCATCCTAACCAGAGAGATCTGGAAGGAGAGGGGAGCCCGGTTAGCAACATTAGCGTCCATCTTTACCGAAGCTACATCCAGAGGCATTCTGGGTAGTGCCGACTGAACGTAAAAGCTGAACGTTTGGCGCAAACCTGAGTTTTGTTGCGGCAGCCTCGGCACTCGTAGGTGTGCGTCCGCGTGTTGGCGATGGCCATCAGGCCACAGAGGTTGCACACGTGGACCTGGTAGGGGTCGGACGCCTCGAACAGACGCTCCCTGAGGAACTGCGCGGCGCCGTGGGCAATCTGACAGTCGCGCTCCATCTCGCCAAAACGTAGTCCGCCGTCACTGTGTGCAAAACGGTCAGAGGTTTGCAGCAGGGGCACCAGGACAGGGCCGTGACATTGATGTACCCTCCCTAACGACACGATCAACAGCACTGCATAACAGCCATAAAAGAAATATGTGAAGATAAACCGCCTTTTCCGGGGGCAGTTATGTTCCTTAAAGTGAGGATAACCGTGTCCCAAAGAATCTGGGACTGACCGAGATCGACCCTCCATGGGCTGTCTGTTGAGGATCTGGACCGGGCCGCGGGCACGCGAGTGAATCTTGTCGTCCACCATGTGCTTCAGGCGCTGGTAGTATGTGGGTCCGATGAAGATCTGCGAGGTGAGCTTGCGACCCGTGAAACCGTTGTAAAGCACCTGTGATGGGGGGGGGTTGGAGGGATGGAGGTTAACATTTCAAGTGAGGACAACAGGGACACACCACTAGTAGAGATGCAAGTCGAAAACACAGGGGGGAGCTGCTTGCCTCATTGCCTCTCAGGTGATAGCCGTACTCGGACAGCAGGTTGGAGACCTTCTGCACGTTAACGGCGTCGTTGAAAGGCGTGGCGTCACCAATCTCCCCCTTGTTTGCCGACACCTGGTCAAGGAGGAAGAAGTCATGCTCAGGAGGACTAGAAACAGTCTGGCAATTGGAACGTCGATTTTCATACAGGTCGTTTGAATCGTCAGTCGGGAGATGGCACCTTGCCCTGCAGACATTCGATCAAATGGCCGACTGTCATTCGAGAAGGGATGGCGTGGGGGTTGATGATGATGTCGGGGGTGATTCCCTCACATGTGAACGGCATATCCTAGTACGGGGACAGAGTGTGAAACAAAGAAGCCTGTCAGGATCTAGTGCAAACTCAAAAGATCATTTTAAACCATTTCCTTCCCCATCAGAGGCTGGTCTTCATTAGCCTAGCCTTATCCACACTATAAACTATCTATTCTTTATCCTCTTGCATACATACTTTATGGACTTTCACAGCCCATGGAACATCATGCTTTCAACAGGCCACTTACCTCTTGCCTGTACTGGATACCACAGGTACCCTTCTGTCCGTGACGACTGGCAAACTTGTCTCCGATCTGAGGGATACGAACAGACCGCACCTGCAAAAATAACCACCAAACGGAGTTGGCACAGCTCAATAAAGTACTACTCAAGCTTAGCTCTGCGCATGTTAGCATCTCTCTTCCATCATGCAGAACTCTGTACTTTAGTACAAAATTATTCAAGACATTTAGGAGAAATTTTACGGACAGTTACATGACCAGACAGTAGGGGGTGCTGTTCACAGGAGGCATACTACAGTCACTGTAGAAGCGATGGCCAATCATCCATCAGTTTGTCTGACCACATGACTGGCTGACCTGCTGCTGTGTGCATCCATAGCTAAGGATGAGGCACACGTGACCACAGGTGGGGGGCCCCACGGCAGCCCTGCCCCCCCACAGAGGACAGCAACCTCTGCCTTTCATCACACACAGCTTCAGGGTCTTCACTTCCTCATACCCACACTCACACACTTAGTCTGCCTCTCAGTCCGATGCAAGACCTGTTCTTCCTCTCTTTACCAAAAACACACTTTTCACTCAGTTTCTAAAATCTATCACAAAACAGCAGAGGAATGTCAGTTCCAAAAAGTACAAAAATGTTACAGAAATGGCTTCTACAAGTAGGGATTTGTTTAGGAATGTATGGAATTGCAGGTTGGAACCAAAGGTGTCTTTGCCTTTCAGAGCAAAAGGATATACTGTAGAGAGGAATGAAATACTACCTAACACACCTGTGACCCAGATTAATGCTTTTCTCTGTTTGGATGGATGTATGTCAGATAATGCTATTATGTTTTTTTTTTGTTTTTTTTTTTTTAATATAAATAATTTTCTAAAGCCTATTGTAGAAGAAGAAAATAAAAACCAAACACAGAACTCATCTGCACGTAAAAGGTCACAAAGTAGATGTGCGTGTCTCTAAGGATTCCGGCATTTCGTACGGGACAGTCCTCCTCCCAGGCATCAGGGCTCACCCTGATTTTGCAGAACTTGTAGCCTTCCTGGTTGAGCGTGACCATGACCTGGTCCACGATTCCGGTCTCGCTGGTACGCAGGAAGGTGCTGCAGTCCCTCTTGGTGTAGCGGCGGTTCGTGCTATCCAGCTCGTCGTCGTTCTCCGGCAGCGTCACCGTCTTGCCGATGATGACGTCCTCGCCGGAGACGCGGACGCCCGGCGCGATCAGGCCGTCGTCATCTAGCTTGTCGTAGATGGCATGTCTCATGCCTGCACATGAGGGGAAGGGGTTAGGATAGATAAATCTCCCAGGAAGATAATCTGCAATTCAGTCACCTTGGATACTCGATTTTAATGCAAGATGCAGAATGTACAACTACATATTTTTACAGCGTATATTTTGTGATTCACATCACATTGGTGTTAAATAGACTTAGTAGTTCAATGACTAATCCAATGGGTATTTTTGACCCTGGAAAATGCACCTTCAGAAAGTTCTTTCTGACCTTTAGTTCTTGGTTGAGCTCACCTTGGCAAGTTTCACGTGTAGGCTTCTCAAACACTTCTTCCTGATCGAAACCCTTCTTGGACTCCTGTTCTTTGTAGGATCGGTAGAACACAGACCTGACAGTATTGGGCAAAATGAGGCCTCATGAAACGTCTGCTGTTTTTTAGACCGTGCTCTTGTTTTGCCCTGGGGCATGCACAAGTCATTGAGCCTTACCTTTGAACAAAAACAACAAGCACACACTACACATGCAAAGCTATGTATGCACTCTCCCTTGTCCCGAGCACAGGGAACTCACCGGAAAAATCCACGATCCACAGCGGAGCGGTTCATGATGACAGAGTCTTCCTGGTTGTACCCAGTATACGACGCAATCGCCACAATAGAGTTGATACCTATAAAGGTTAACAAAACATCTCAAAAGTTGTCTTTGAAAGACGCGGAATAAGCACTGAAAATTCAAAATGGTCACACAACTGGGTTTCTGGCCCAAAGTCTACCTGTAAGAACAAGGCAAACCACTGTTCCACTTAATCACATACCATCACATTGTATAACAAGTGTTGAGTCACTCGGCAATGCTGGACTTTAAGCCCTTCCTGGTGGCAGATCCTTACCCGCTGGGAGCTCCCTGAAACGCAGGTACTCCATGGACCGTGTGGTCACCAGGGGTTTCTGTGGGTAGTACAGTACGTGTGCCAGCGTGTCCATGCGCACGTGGAAGTTTGTGATGTAGACTCCCATGGCCTGCTTACCCATAGCAGATTGGTACGTGTTCCTGGGCGACTACATGAGGGCAAGAACAGGCAGAACATGGTCTTAGAACCTGTACGATGTCCAGTCTGAATGTGTCAACTGTTATTATTCTCACAGAAACACAAAATCGATCAGCGTACTTTTTTTTTGTAAAACTATCCTCACGCAGCTATTAATGCATGAATTTCAATGTTCCTTCTTCCTTACAAATCAGCCAGAACAGACGAATTGGGACATGGTTGCCATGGAAACAACCTGAAGAACTACAGGTGACTTACCTGATTGTGGTCAGGGAAAGGAATGATGGAGGCACAAACGCCCAGGATCATGGAGGGGTGGATCTCGCAGTGGGTGTAGGTGGAACAGTAAGCCACGCCCTTCTCCTGAAGGTCATCAGGGGTCATAGCCAGCATCACCGTCTCCTCTTCAAGCGTGTCAATGTACTCCACCACGCCGCTGGCTACCAGATCCTGCCAGCTGCAGTTAGGGGTCAATCAGTCCCCGCGTTAGCAGAAGTGGTAAAAGCATCAAGCAGCCAATCAGCTTAAGTATAGCAATTAAAGTGCTACATCTCTTAGAGATTTTTGTTTCCTCTCAAAATACCATCTAGGTGTCCTGATATTTCCTAACCTAAGTCAACAAGAAACTTCACAAGTACATACAAATCACTCTGGATACAAGTATACATAATTCTGTTATTATGCAAGTTTCCAAAACATGATTTGGCATATAGCAGAAAGATTTCTGCATGATGCAAATCTCACTTTGGCTTATGATTTCACCCCTGACATGTTGATAGTAACACGTGCCGGTCTGTGGAGTACACTTGACAAACAGCGCCATCTAGTGTCCCTCGGCACACAGTGGCAGCACACCTGTAGTTGTTGTACTCCCTCTCCTTCAGCTGGTCGATGTGTCGCTTCTTCAGCAGCAGCTTCTGCTTCTCCACGATCAGAAGCGGGCGGCAGATCCTTCCTGCGTCCGTGTAGATCCGGATCTCCCTCTCCCGAATGTCCCGGATCATCGATACCTGGGATGATGGACAGGAAGGAAGGAGGCAGCTGAACTTAGAGAGATGAGCCCAGAGTACTCTGGACAAACTACGTCCATGTCCACCTCCTGTATATGCAGCCCAATCAAAGCCAGTGAATTTAAAGCAAGACAGGATAACCTCCAATCCACAAAGGTTAGAGCTGCCTTTACATTAACTTACTCAAACATGTATTGTGGGCATTTCCAAGACAACAAACTGGGAAGGACAACTTAGTATGACTGTTCTACCTCTGAGACAATGATGTCCATCTGCCGCCTCAGTTTCCTCAGTGTGTTCATCAGCTGCTCAGGGTCTTTGTGAATGCCCACCCAACATCCATTCACAAAGATCTTAGTGGCACTGTTAAGGGAGAAAAGATCATTCATAGCTTTCAAAAGCAGAACTTTAATCCAAAAGCGTAAATCTAAAGGAGTTAGATATTCCATTATTCTGACTATACTCATTCTTCCTGTTACTCTGCTACTGAATGCTACTTGAGGATGCTGCCCCCTGCTGGCCATGTCTATACTCACTCTGCAATGGCTGCTGGAGAGATTTCTTCCAGATTCTCCATGCTCCACTCTTCCAAGAACTCAAGGATGGGGGATGGCTGGGAGCCCACAGAGATGTAAGCCATGAGCGCCAGGTTCTTCACCAGTCCCACAGCGTGACCCTGGTGTGTGGGGAATGCAGGAGGAGACAAAAAAAAAATTAAGATAAAATAATTCCATAATCAGTGTTAGCCCTAAACAGACCTTTTAGAGCCAGTAGTCAGGGTGCCGCTCTGGCGCCCCCTAGCCTACCTCAGGGGTCTCTGCGGGACACACCATGCCCCACAGTGTGTTGTGTAGCTGTCTGGGCTTGGCCAGCTTGCCATCGCGGCCAATGGGGGAGTTGACTCTCCGTAGATGAGACAGGGTGGAGGCGAATGTCAACCGATTCAACACCTGCAGATTCACAGAGAGAGAGAGGGATTGGACAAAATGGAAGATTTTCACAAGCAAACATTCGTAGTCTTCTGGAAGGTAGTTAAACAAAAATGATCTAGTGTACTGGCCACTCAACACCTTTACAGTAGACTTGCTTGAGAAAAATTATTCCAATAAGCATAGTCGACTCTAGGCTTTTCTGTCAGGGAGTGCAAGGTGAGTCAGCCAACCAGGCATTCATTACAGGCCACGCTAATCTGAGCCACATAGAAAAAAAACCCCAGTAAATTCATTTACAACAAATTATCATTTAACATTGATGTGACTTTCCTAAGCCACATATTTATATATAACTTTACAATACAGAGATCCATCAGTCACTGTGCAGGTCTGGCGGTCATTTATGTACTATTTACATCTGTTTGCACGGCGTTTACTTTGTTTGCACTATATATACACACACTGTCTTTGTACCTTGTCTGTCTAGCAGTATATGTATGTTTGGCTGTGCACCATGTTCTTGCTGTTCTATGCACCAGAATTTCCCCCTGGGTTCTATGCACCAGAATTTCCCCCTGGGTTCTATGCACCAGAATTTCCCCCTGAGCTTAATCTACTCAAATAATCGGTATAACTGAGCCTCTTGCTCAGGACAGAGCGCTCGAGGGTCGGGCTGGACTATGGGGGCTTGAGCAGACAAAAAAAAGTCAGAAGGACTGATGCAGTAAAAGTACACTGCAATGCTCAGTCAGTACCGGCAGCCCACACAGAGCTCTGTGGCGTTACCTGAGACACCCCAGCCCTGGTCTGGTGGGCCTTCTTGACGTCTCCCCAGTTCCCGGTGGCGAGGGAGTACTTTAGCCCATCAGAAATGATGCGCGTCTTGATGGCCAGCTCCAGATTAAAATCTTTCCCTCTGTCAATGAACTTCTGGGCATAGATCCGGATTTCTTTTAGTAGATTTTTAAACATTCTGAAATGAAAATGTATAAATTACAGTTAATTGTGACTTTTCACCATCAGCAGCACGTGTTGCGCCAGTCAAATCCAGAGACGAGGCAGACCGTTTCAAGCAAATACCCGCGAAAGAGGAATGCAAGCAGGGGCCCGGCGAGATCCAGCCTCTTGTTGCCGTAGTGATCTCTGTCATCCAGCTCACGCCGGCCCAGTGCAGCCAATAGGAGTCTGTGTACCATGTAACTAAACAACAGAAGACAACAGCTTCATCAATCTTCCCGCAGTATATGAACTTGCATTATTTACTGCTAAAAATCAAGACATTGATCAAATTCCTTGAATATTAAAAAATGAATTGTCCATTCCAATTCCCAAGTCTGCGCGCAAACTAATCGTCCTCTACAACACCATTTCGGATTGTGCTTTTTCTTCAAACACACACCTCTACAAATTAGGGTGAACTAGTGATGGACAAAATGACACTCCATGAACCATCTGCTGTATTTTTTTGACTCCACTAGAGGGCACTGTCTGTTCAAAAATGGGCAAAAAGCATGCATAAAAGCAAGCCAAAAGCACCATCTAGTGGTATTTGGTGAAACAGCAAATGTTTCATGAAGTTTCATTTTGTCCATCAACTAAGGCTAATTATTACCATCACATCCTCCTCCTGCAGAAACACCCTGTTCACACCCTGATACAGAAGGAAGGCGAGGCCATGTTTGCCAACATCCAGCTCACCCCAAGAAGTAGGCCTTCTTCGTCTCGCAGAAGTCGCTGACGCCGACGTGGGGCAGCACTTCTTTCTGCAGCACCTCCTTGGCATACTTGATTCTCTTCTCCTTGGTGACACCGGGCTTGGCGCCTCTGGACCCGATGAAGTTCAGGGCCACGTTCTGCTCCTGGATCACGAAGGCTTCGTCTAGGGAGGGCTTCACCTGGTATGGAGAGGACCGGCGTGTGAAACATCCCTGCTGCCACGCAAGGCGACCGTCGTCTCAGCTGACATTCTTGACGATTCAGCGCGAAGACGCATACCATCTCCATCATCTCAGGATCATCAAAGTCATAGATGATGTGCTCCAGAATGTCTCTGTCAGACACGAAGCCCAGGGCACGAAAGACTATGATGATAGGAACTTCCTGCCTGATGTAGGGGAGTGTGGAGACGATCCTCTGACCTATGGCGCTCTTCTTCACACCCTGGGTATCAGGAAGATCAGCCGTTACACCGATACAATAGGGAGACTCTGAAAGGTTATGATTTTTTAATAATCAGCAGCCATCCCTGAGCATGGTGAAGTAAAATGTTTGTGGCATGCAATTACCCTCAGAACTTGCCTATTGGCAAAATAAGAGATAGAGGTCACAATCTCTACAGTGCAGTGTTTCCCAATCCGGTCCTCAGGGACCTGCAGACAGTCCACATTTTTGCTTCCTCCCAGCCTGCACTGTCTAGCACAGAGCTAGGAGGATGCAAAAACATGGACCGTTGATGGGTCCCTGAGGACCGGATTTGGAAACACTGGTATGGTGCCCCAAAGAACTCTGTAGCTCAAATGATCTGTTCCTGCTGGCAGAAGCCAAAACACTCCTTCGACAGGGCCCACAAGCCTCACCTGGCCGCCTCGGGCCATCATGCTGACCCAGATGGAGCTGGTAGGGCGGGAAGAGTTCTCCAGACAGGAGCGACACTCAGCCGTGTAGGCGTACTTGGAGTCCTTCTTGGCAAATACATACACTGTGTTTGTGGCCATCTTCTCTTGGGCAATGAGAACCTATAAAGGGAACAGGCAAAGCTTATAATGCTGCACAGTTACATGCACAGTGCAGAAATACAGGAGCAAAATACAATGTGATTAGCACCAATATACAATGTGCCTGATGAGCAGACACACTGTCCTGGGATATTATGGCTCCAAATTGCTTCATGTTGACCTTTAACGGCATGCAAGACACTAAGGCTATATTCATGGCGAGAGTGTATGGATAATAAAACAGAACAAGTAACTCAAGAGATACAAACTTCATAAATAACTATACAATATTACAAACAGTTAAAAAAATCTAAAGGAGATGCATAATATTAGCAAACCAACAAAAAAATAAAAACCCTGGCTTGAATTTGCCAAAACCCACTTTTAGAGAGTCAGTAAAATGGTATTTTCACCTAAGGGTATTAAAAGAAAGACGATACAATAAAAGATCTTTAACAGATAAAGCAGTTTTGCATGTGAGACATACAGGTGGATCTTCACCTGTGAACAAAAACATTTGGGTCAGCCTGGAACGCCCTATGTGAAACCTTGTACAGAAGACCTGCTCCAAACTATTTTTAAAGTTAGCTTTTGTTTATTTTCAATAATTGGGCTGATTTGGCTGAAAGTTTGTCATTAGTGAATTCATCATAACTGTTCTATAATGTTAACCCAAAACTCGGATTCAGGGGGCCGTAATGATATCCACTGTGCATCCCTGGTGAAGCGCATGCAACTTGAAATCACGGTAAGCCACCTTCTCGGAGCCGTTGATGATGAAGTAGCCCCCGGGATCCAGTGGACACTCGTTTAGCTCACAGAGATCGCGGTCTGTCAGGCCACTCAGCAGGCAGTACGTGGAGCGAAGCATGATGGGAATCTTTCCGATGAAAGTCTTCTGGTGCTGAGTCTGCAGCTGCTCCTCCCCCTCCTTTATGATGGTTTTGGTGATGTCCACATAGAGGGGGGCGGAGTACCTGTGTGCGAGTGTTCATGTAGATTGTTCAATTGACAGAGTCCCCGTGGGTTTAGGAGTAAAGTCAGGCAGGCTACAAAAAAAGTGAACCTAAATTAGGGCTGCACAATATTGGGAAACATTCACATGGAGATATTTGCAATATTTATTTTAAAAAAGGAGTTCAAATTTACCCGAAATAAACTACAGACGCTCCTCTACTTATGAACGAGGTACGTCCCGAACAGCCGTTCATAACTTGAAATGTTCGTATTCAACATCGTTTTAAGGGTATACGCAAGTACAAAGAACTAGGATGCTGGGAGTACGCACGCTACGCTGCTGCGCGGCGGGAGTAGCGGCCAGAAGTTGTACTAGGCGGAATTGGCACGCAGAAAAAAAATTGGATGTTGCAGACAGGAAAACGGGAGCCCAATGAACAAAATTTGGACTTACAGTCCTCTTCGTTCGTATGTCTGAAAGTTCGTAAGTTGAAAGTTCGTAAGAGGAGAAGCATCTGTATAGCCAAATAGAACTTATTAACTACCAATAGTGTTTGTCAAATGAGTTGGCGTCTATTGCTGCAAGTTGTGCCACAAAAGTAAGGAAGAAACAAAGAATCTTGAAAGCATCCATCACCATAAATACTACTGACACAGAAAGGGCAGAAAATGCGGCACACTGCAACGTAAATTTACGTGAGATTCCGCAGTCTGGCCTCATTGGGCATCATGGGCGAAGGTGCCCCATCTCTCTCCCAGTGTGTGGGTTTAGAAAGGTAAATCTGTTCAAACTTAAGAAGATATCTTGGCTGCGGAGAAACAAACAAAAAAAAGAAGCTGTCACCGTTTAGTCTGTATATACGAACACAGCAGAAGCCATGTTGCTCTTCTGTACTCACCGGCTCCTCCACCTCCCCGGTCGTGTGCTGAGCCTCCGCCTGCAGGTCAATGGGCGGCGCATCCTCCACGATCCTCTGCACAGACATCTGAATGAACTCGTCAAAGGAGTCCAGCTGCTGTCGCACGAGGCCCTTCTCATCAAAGTAAGAGCTGAGGGACAGGGAACGTGTTGTTGGGTGCGGCATCAGAGAAAGCTACCAAGTTACTTTTCACAAACAACACCATGTATGAAATATCAGTACTAATATGTAACATTTTCCACACGCGCGATTGAAAACACAAGTCTATGGTAACGAGAAAAGTTGCATACGATGGAAGTTTCCCATTTGTACAATCACCTAAAAACAGACACATAAGAATTTTGTTCTCATATGGGACACAAACACACACATACAGGTGACTCTCAGACACAAACTTCCCATCAGCAGCGCCAGAGGCCACCTAGATGAAATATTTTCAATCACAGAAATACAATACAATAATTAGCAACGATAACTCCAGGTAATTAAGCTTGTATAAGAAAAACAAGAGTTATTCTGTAGAGTATAGACAAAGGGGGTGCCATCACCTGATGACAATCCAGCAGGCTTCCTGCCACAAATCGGGGGTAATTTCATCATCATCTTCGTCATACTGGATATCTAAAGAATAAATTTGTTACAAAATTACTGCTTACAGAATGCACATGAAATGTGAAACAAAAGCTCCTCGGTGCATTTTACAATATCACGCCGTTTGTTCACGGATTCATTTTTATTTTAACTGGTATAGGCAGCTTTCGTTCAGATATCAAAATTAACTAAGATAAAGGTTTCAGCAAATCATCACACATTTAGCAACATTTAACAGGATGTGTTCATGCCTTTGGCTGTTTTTTTCTGCGGCATGTCCATTTGGTATTTTTTGGTACGAATAGGTATTTAACTGTTTTAAATTTCAGCAGATAACTTAGTATTACCGACAGTGATGCTCGGAGATAGGAAGAATTTTGTGAGAATAACGGATCCATTATCATCCACCTATCCATGTGAAAGGATAAGCTTGCAGTTAAGTAAAACATAAACTTCGTTAAGGATATAACATTACAGAAATGCAAGACCACGATGACTGAAATAGGCTAACATGAAAACTATCCTGGCGCCATGTTAACGGCAACTTAACCAGAGCGCTAACAAAAACAACACATTAACACTTACCCTCATCTTGATCATACATGTTTATGGATAAAGATTTTCCTTCAGAGACAAAACTAACGTGCTTAAATTATATGGCTCTCCCTCTCTTGTCTTTTATTATACTCTTCCCCTTGCGTAGTTAACAGCGGTAACAGCAAAAACCAAATGCTAGAATATCGATGGTCGCTGTATGCCATACGTCACATCCGGCAGCCTCACGTCTTGTAATACTTACTGGTTATCTAAATAAAAGTTACTATTTTCTTATAAATTTTAATTAGCTATTAATTGGGCGTATTGTCAATTTATATCGGGTTTTATATAAATGTGTTTTATTACACGTAAAAAGCTCAAAAAGGCAATATACATACGCAACTTCCGGTTATGTAGTGACAGCGAGGTTCACGGGTTACTTGCTGAGTTTTCTCACATGTGAAACGTGAACATTCCAAGTTATGCGCTATTTATGTGACGAACTTCATATTTATTGTTACATATCGTATCACTGTTTGTCACAATGCAAAGATTCGTTCAAGTTACTTTGAAACGATTTTTAAATTGCAAATGCTCACGACACCTATCCATGTCGTGTCTCCGACTACCTAACGGAATCAAGTCGAATAAGTTACAGGGCGAGTGCAGCATTTCGTTAACATATAAAATAAATCCAATCCACCTGACGATATCTAATTCTCCATGGACAATAAGACACAGATTCTACTATGCTGACCCAGGAGTACGTGGTGCACCTCAAAGAGGTACGAAGAATAACCGAAAGTCAAAGAAATACACCTCCGTAGAACCAGAGACTGAGGAAGAATTCGTTTTTCTGGACTACTCGGAACCAGAAGAACCCAGAGAACTTGAGCTTCCTTTGGAGATATCTGCGCAAGTGGATACTGCAATGGCCATTGATAAAAAGGTGCGAAAGATAAGCAGTACCGAGGTGAGTCATAGGGCACTGGAAGTACAGTTGCAGTCAATTAAGGACGTAATTAGAGAAGATCCAGACATTGAGTTTCATGATGCTGGTTACTCTCATGTAAAGTCAACAAGGACCAACCCTAGCAAGCACCGAGTGTACGGCACACCAGATCCAGAGGTACCCGTAAGTAGTACATGCTGCTCTGGGTGCGGTGCTGTGATGCACTGCACGGTCCCAGATTTACCTGGTTATCTGCCCAGCGAAAAATACAAACGTTTATCCGAGGAAAATACACTGGACAAAGCGATTTGTCAGCGCTGTTTCTTACTGGTGCACCACCAAAAGGCGTTAAGTGTGCAAATGAAAAAGGAGGAGTATCGCAGTATTGTTAGCCGTATACGGAATGAGAAGGCTTTAGTATTGTTGATTGTGGATCTCATGGATGTCCCGGATTCTATTATACCGGATCTGATTGATTTGGTAGGGGAAAGAAAACATATTGTGGTGCTAGGAAATAAAATTGACTTGCTGCCGGGGGACTCTGATAACTACTTAAAACGAATCAAGGCTCAGCTTTTGCAGTACTGCACAGACTTCGGCATTTCCCCCGGCAACAGCATAAAAGATGTCCATCTCATAAGTGCCAAAACAGGCTATGGCGTTGAGAATCTCATATCAAGCCTTCAGTCGTCTTGGAAGTATAAAGGAGATGTTTATTTGGTGGGGACCGCCAACGCTGGGAAGTCTACGCTGTTCAACACGTTGCTGGAATCTGACTATTGCAAATCTAAGGGGTCGGATGTGATTCACAAAGCCACGATATCTCCTTGGCCAGGTGAGTGTCATCGACGAGGTTTGCCCTGAAAAAGATGAGGCTTCCTGCAATAAGTTATGATTTCAGCAGGTGCGCCGTTAAAAAAAAAAAATAATGTCATGCAGTTATTCCGTTTTTACCATCAAACGATCATTGAATTACTTCAGTCACTTTGTTTCTGTCAAAAACACTTAGCAGAATTTAACTGTTGACACTTCGCTGTTGAGAAAAAAAAGTACAAATGGTAACAGCAGCGTTTTAGGATTTTGTTTTTATATATACATATATTTTTTATTGAAGAATAACATTAACAGAAAAATCCTTTCCTGTGCAGGAACAACATTGAACCTGTTGAAGTTTCCCATCATAAATCCCACTCCGTACCGCATGTTCAGACGGCATGAGAGGCTGAGGAGCAGCGCGACTGCAGGGGAGGTGGTGATGAATCCGCAGGAGATGCAGAAACTGCAGCAGCTCAGCAAGCAAGGGTACTTAGTAGGTGAGGGCAAATCAGTGAATGAATTATTGAATGAAAGACACGTTTTTATTGCTCATACTCCTATCAGGTGTGATCAGTTCACATTTTGGCAGTGAGTAGTAAATAAAATTATTTTTTTCAATCAATTGTTTGGGTATATGCCATGCCAACGCATGAATTCCAAGAGTTTCTCATGGTAAAGTGTAAATCGGTTAAGAACGTTGGGGTGCACCTTAGTTCTTGAAAAGCAGAAGTAGTTGCAACTCTGCCTTTCAGCTCCCTTACGCTCCATTTGAAATGTCGTGTCAGGCCATGTGGGCAGAACCTTCCGGCAAGACGCGCAGAAACGGCTACATGCCGGCATCGTGGAATTTGATCCCGAGGAACTCAGCTATGGAGGAGCCGAAGGGGACTTTGAGGGGAAGGTGATCAGACCACAATCCTGTGACCCAGTGGAGTTCACCCACAACGAGCTCAAAGATGCCCATTGGCTGTATGACACACCAGGCATCATGAAAGAGTGTGATGTAAGTCCCCCGAACAGGACATCATAAGCCGTTGGTTAGGTTAATGGGAGCCATAGGATCATAGCATAGCTAAGCGGCTTGGTCTTCTTGTTGGTTGAATAGAAACGTCTTAACAGAAGTGTTCTATAGTACGACAAAGGCAAAAAACTAACTATACTGCCACTGAAACTGAGAAAGAGGGCTTTATAGTTTTTTGACCGTCCACCTTAGGCAGGTAAATGTTTTCTTCAAAACCGAACATAGTTGAACTAGAATATTTTATGAGATAAAACGGAGCCTAAAAAGACTCAGTTTTGCCCATAATTCTGTTAATATGTAGTTACTTTTATTTGCCCTTGCACAGTAGTATAAGCAGAATATTAACACTTCAGTGTGATGGCATAGTCAGAGTATGATTGTATAGTGAAGAGTTTTGTCTCCCTTGGGCAAATTATGTATGTAATTTCTGAATTTTGTTAGATTTACAAAGTGCGTAGGCTGTATGTCATATGACATTGCCAGTGTTCTTTAGATGCTATTTTCTTCTTTTGCCATTTAGATTCTCAGCCTGCTAAATGAATATGAGCTGAAGATGGTAGTGCCCACTCATGCCATTGTGCCAAGGACCTTTGTCTTGAAGCCTGGCACGGTGCTGTTTCTGGGAGCACTGGCACGGATCGATTATCTAGAGGTCAGTATACTGTAGGGCTCATCAAATGTAAGTATTTTATTTTGTGCGCATATTTTACATAAGTTACATTTTGAGTCTCTCTAAAGCAGTGATTCTCAAAGTGTGTGCCCCCCCTAGGGGATGCCGTGGCACTGCAGGGGGGGCGCTAAGCATAACAAATGCCAGGTTGAGTGTGTGCTAAAATGGGTAGCGGAACTGGAACATGTGAGCGGAGTGGAGTGATGAGGATTTCCGCTCATCGCAAGCGGAGCGGTCCCTGCTCACAGCCGCTGCAGACTGCTCCGCTCATTGTCACTCCCCGCTAAAGGTCAATTTTCACTTCACCTCAATGAGATCACTCACCGCTCGCTCCAAAAAAAACCTACATTGTATAATATTTTAAGCTTAGTTTGACGCCAGGCTACAGTTTAACTGATCAGCCAAATCCACATTCAAGCAGAAATTATTTATTTCAAGATGTGAGCGGGTTAGTGACTTTGGCCAGCTGGCTGGCGTGCGATTTTCAATTAGAGACAAGTCTGCACACGCATTTACATGTTTGTAATAATTTGATTACCTTGTAAATAGGTAGTTCGCAAACCCTACTGAAGTGCTTTTGATGTAGGTAATTGTAGGTTTGCAATGGAATAAGATAGATTTGCCGTAAGATTTCTTGGGCGTCACACCAGATGAGTGAGAGTTGGGAACCTGGCGAAAGTGGAGTGAGACTCAGTGAGAGATAAGGGGACGCTGCAGTGTTTTTGAAATATGCCGCTCCCGCTCCCGCTCCGCACTCACTCCCGCTCCGCTCAGCTGACGTGCTCTGAGCGGAACCAAAGTTGAATGTGTGTTTTTCAAGTGGGAGCAATAGCAGAGTCTTAAGGTTTTTTTTTGCTTTGAGACAGTGAAACAAACATGGACATTATATATAATATATGCGTGCGTGTGTGTGTGTGTGTGTGTGTGTGTGTATATGTGCGTGTGTATGTATGTGTGTATATATACTTGTTTTCCATTGATTACTGCAATATATTTGGTATTTATGTGGATGTCCCCCTTTTTTAGGGTGAAACATCCTGTTGGTTCTCTGTCATTGTTTCCAATCTGATCCCAGTTCACATCACTAGTCTGGAGAAAGCAGACGACATCTACCACAAGCATGCTGGGAAAACACTACTCAGGGTAAGATAATACTTTACAAGGAAGATTTCCCAGACCAGACCAGAATAGAACATATAGTGTTGCAGTACCTTGTGTTAATCATACGGGTGGCATAACGGAAGGAAGTAATGCAGTGAAAGCGAAAGCAAATGTTTTTCGCACAAACCTGTGTGCACACCTGCATGGACTGCATAGCAACCATGCAAATTATCCTCGGTCATATTGAACAGACCTTCCTGGCTGTATCATGCAAATAAAAACCAGTCTCTGGTGAGATTCCCATAGGTTATTACCTTTCCAGAGCACCAAAGAGAGATTTTATGCCATGTATTGCTGTTGGACTACAGCATAGCCTGAAGGAATTTACTTTGTTTTACCATGTTCCATTCATTGCTTTGCACAGCGATTGTGACAATTGGACACCTTGTGGGGCCAACAATGGATGTAATTAGGGACTTGATTCCTTATACACAGGGAGCTTTTTTGGGATGAGGTGTTTTTGTATGAGAATGTTATAATTACAAAATCACAGTGGTGAAACCTATTTGCTATTCATGATTCGGTTTACATATTTATTAGTAATAGCTAATGTGTTCTGACCAGGTACCAACTGGAGGAGAGGAACGGATGAAGGGGTTTCCACCACTCATTCCACATGACTTTGAGATGAGGGGGCGGGGCAATCAGGAGGCCACAGCTGACATCAAGGTCTCCTCTGCAGGTAACTGTCCAATTGGAAGAGCTGGAGTAGAACATGTAAAAACAAGCTTCACTCACTGGAAGGAGAGATGAGGCCAGATTCTCACAGCCAATCATTAACAATAACCACATTACCAAAGGAAAGGTGTCAGCGCAGAGTCTTCAGTGTCTCCACATTAAAGATGTATATATCTCTCCCTCTATCAGGTTGGGTGGCTGTGACAGGCCAAGATGGTGACCAGCTCCACATCCGGGTTCATGCACCGGAGGGGGTTGGACTGTCTCTGAGGGCACCCCCATTACTCCCCCACATTGTCAACATTAAGGGGGAGCGCATCCGCAAGACCCCTGCCTACAAACCCAAGAAGCCCCGACCCCTGGTGGACAAGAGCCTATCAGCAGAAGGGGCAGAACGTTTGAAGTTTAGAAAGAAGTAGGGGACATGTTACATGAACGCGCAAGAAATCATCTTGGAATTTAACTGGGTCTTTCAATTATGGTGTTTTCATCCATCCATATTCTATGTCCGCCTCTGTAGTATAAGGTCATGGGAAGTCTATAGGTTATCCCAGGAGGCACTGGGATATCATGGATGGGACACTAGTGCATCACTTGGTAATATGAATGTGGAACATCTGAGAGGCTTATTTCTCCACGCATTGAAGTTCATGTACCAGAAATGACAGGTAATACATATGGCTGTTACTCTAAATGGGGGGGAGGTTAATATTACTACTCCTACTGTTGTTCACTGTTTAATTGTATATGGCCATACGAATGGACATTGCATATGGAATGTATACCTGGAGGAAGGAATCTTTGTACTGATACCAAAATTAATGCTCAGTTCATTTTTCCAAATGGTCAAGAATGTAACAAGATTTTTTTTAAGCCAAAACATTTTATTTTTTTGAGACTGCATTTTATAGTAAGAATATCTGTTTTCTTTGTCAATTACAATTTTGGCTTGAGAAAAAAAAAGATAAACCTAATTTATATGCAAAAAACCTAAGTTTATTATAACAACCTAGCATAATCAAAGAAGTCACTCTGCATCCCTCTCTTGAACACAATGTGTCAGACCAATTATGTGGAAACAATTCATTCACAGCAGCTGTAAATGCTTACATCAGTGTAACTTGTTATGTTTACTATTACATACAAGAAATAGGATATGATTTTGTTAGACAAAATGGCAAAAAGACATGATTACATCGTTAAACATTGTTAACAGTGCTTGTGTGATAAAATGAAAATGGCCTACAGTCACTAAGGCAAATGTGTACATAATATAGATAAGCAAACATTTTCCATTTACATAAAGATAAGAGGGGGCAACATTTACATGACAAAGAAGTCTAACCAAGAGTGCATTTTCAATGGGATCAAGGTACATAGGGCCAAGAACATCATTGTTGCGTACAGTCCATGGACAGATCCACAATGATCAGCAGTCCTTGCGTTCTTTCACTTCTTACTTTGGTATCATAACTGAGACACTATTGCACAGAACCGTCAGAAACATGTGTGGGTGCATGCTGGGGGATTTGTTTTGTACTGAGAGACAAGATCAGTGAATCAGATCAGGACTTCACGAACTGAAATCCATTCTCAAGGTCAGGATGGTATGTCCCAGCTAAATGACTTTCCTCAAAAAAAGAAAACACTTTTTACACCGACAGCAAAACAACCTGCATTCACAATGTTGGGAGCATACTGATTTAATGGTGTAAATCTTGCAATGACCCCTCAAAGAAATGCTCCTTTGATTACATTTCTTCCCCTAAAACTGGGGTCAACACATGGTTTAAAGGCAAAAATCACATTTAGGGCAATTACAGGCTAAGAAAAGAGGCATTTGACCTTGGTCGAAGCAAAGCAATGCTTCAACTTCAGATCAAGGAATGGTTCAAACACTCGCAAGTCACCCACCAGCCAAAAAGGAGCTCTGTAAAGGATTACTTTCAACAAAAGGGTGTTTGTTTGAAATACTCTCTCATCACCATTTAATAGAAACGATAGAAGGAGAGGTTTAAAAATGAAAAACCATAGAATGATTGTCAAAAGCACCAAAAAAGCAACAAGTGTAGCATGCAATAAAAAAGTGTGCTCAACGTAAAAAAAAATCTTTGGACAAAGATAGCAAAAAAAAAAAACTTACTAACTTTTCTTACAACAAATGAAGCTTTGAATTCTTTATGTACACAATTCTACAGTTGCGTAGTTAACGCAAAACTTAAGGGGATGAATATTACTGGAAACTGATGCTGTCAAACACCAGTGGCCAGGGTTTATACTCTGCATGACCGCCAGGCTGATCGTTCCTTGGTCTCCCATGTAGAAGTGAAAGTGCAGAGAGTTTTGCCTGGCATTTACCTCCATGGAGATGCATTTTCACCATACAGTCTAAGAAATAAATTTCTAATAATTTGTGTTTTGGGGGGGGGGGAAGCGACGTCCGACATGCGCCAGATACCTGCTCACAAACTCATTCACAGAGAATGATTATGAAGGAGCACCCACACTCCATCCTCCAGCTGCACATTTGTAACATCAAAAGGCCACAACAGAACTTTAAAATGTGTGAGCCACCATATGGAGTCAACATGTTCTAGTGATCCAATACAACGGTAAGGCAGGCCTGTAAACAAAAGAAACAAATGCAGTTTCATTGGCTGCAAAGTGCTCACCAAAAGGATGGAGGAACAATGCCTCTTTACTGGCTGTCAATTGAGCGCGCGTTGCTCCACCCCCCCATGTTGACTCACCAGACACAGAACGCTCCACTGAAGAATCCATCACAAAAGAAGCCAGAGGCCCATTCTTCTCAACCCTGCTGGCTTTCGACCACCTGGGTCCGCCCAATCTCGTCTCACCACGGGGGTGGTGAAAGGGGCCATCTTTGGCTCCTCATTTAGAAGCGTCACGCGTCTGCTCACAATGCACTCTGTCATTGTGGCCCGCAGACAGAGTGATAAATGGGGGGAACTCATGAGCTGGGGGTTGTGGGGCACTCTTTACTTACTCCATATAAAAACGTAACAGGGTTCTTGTTAGAACTCCTTGTCAAAATTCCAGATTCCTTCGGCACTTGGTTTCTAGTACACATTTAAAAAAAACAAAAAAAAACAGCAACATGCAATCGCTGTTCTACCTAAGGGCACAATCCAGCTCTCAGAGGTCTCACCATGGTCTATACACCCTTTAGCTCAATCAGTAGGACCGAGTGAGAGTGGTTCCCACACAGAATTCATGATTACCATCAGATTGCCTCTCTAGACACACTTGATCAGTTATATACTTGACACGTCATCTAATGCTATGGACATAAAGGCCAAAATGAAATGAAAACCCGGAGCTGGTTCCAGTGATGAAAGAAGACAACTAGTACTGTTTATCTGTGATCCGACCTAAACATAAAGAAGCTATATCCAGTGCAGACACACTCCATAAAGCTAACATCTCAGTTTCTGATGGTTACAGTAAAGCATTATGAAAATGAATCAGTATTAAATAACTGTAAAAAAAAGTCATTTGTTTTACAGCTGCTAAAGGCTGAACACTTGATACCTTGCTTGTAGCTGCTATATAAAGTATACAGTTTGAGGAAGAAAAATTAAATAGAAATATTAGGCCATTCGATCAAAGACCCTAGTGGACGCTCACTGCTCCTCAGAGGCAGCGCTCTCCAAGTAATATACGTTCACCAGGTGCCGATTTAAATGCCTCCGGTACTCCACCTCCATGGGGAACGTGCGGTCACAAAAAATGCAGGTGTGACTCGGGAGTGCTGTGGCTGTGGGGACGGGGGGCACCTCCTCCGTGGGGGTCTCTGGTCCTGCGAGCTTTCCTGAGCCGCTGAGGCCGGAGTCGTCGCTGCCCTCGGAGACGTTGTCACTGATGTCACTGCCGTCGTGGCTGTGTATACCCTCATCTTCTTCGGTTTCGGCGGGCTTGTGACCCGTCCGAGGAAGCTCCAGAGTAGAACTTGGCTGACCTTGCTCTCCCTTCTGGGGCTCCAAGGCTTTCCCCCTTGCCTCAGGAACCTCATTTGGTGCACTGTTCACCGGTCCATGCTCCATCTCAGTCCTTTCTTCCTCATTTACACCGTCTACAGGATTCCTGAGAAGACCAAGGTGAGCCTCGACATTATGTTGGTCCTTGTTTGCAGTGGTCTCCTGAGGTGTCTGAATGAGTACTTGGTGTTCTGCCTCCATGGCTGATGCATCGGTCTCCACTGTGGGATTCTCCCCTTCCAGCACTTGCTCCACAATGTTCTCGTCCACCATGCTTGGCTCTAACAAGCTCAGGCTCTGCTTCTTCTTGCTTTGTACCTTTTTGGTTTTTGTCTGCAGCTGAACTACAACAGGCAGGCCAAGCCCCTTGGCTGGTTTGTCTTTGCCCCTGGTGGCCTGGCAAGTTTGCAGTACCTTCCGCTTGCTACGCAAGATGCTGGAAGCCTGAAGGGGCATGTCCTCAGCTTTCTTCCTTCTGCTTTTCCTGGAGACAGAGGGCTCAGAAGTCCCTTGGCAGTGTGAAGACTGCTCCAATTCTTCTGCCTTTCTCTTACCATAAGTATTTGCCACTTCCCTGCTTTCACATTTTCTTGGAAGTTCCCAACATTCAAAATCCCTTCCTTGATCTTTATCCTCCACATCCTTCATCACTTTAGGTGAACTCTGGCAAGCACTTCTGTCAGACTTCACTGTCTTTTTGTTCTTTGACTCTGCCTTCTCCCTCTCGGTCCGCTCTTTCTCCACCCTCTCCCTCTCAGCCTGCTCCTTCTCCAGCTTCTCCCTCTCTACTCGCTCCTTCTCGGCCCTCTCTTTCTCAACTCTATCCCTCTCTGCCTTCTCCTTTTCAAGCCGCTCCTTCTCCACCCTCTCCCTCTCAGCCTTCTCC